TCTTGAAGAGTCTAATGCACAAAATATTAGTAAATGACTTCATGGACTTTCAACGAGCTAACAATTTCTTACTTACTGGCATTTGCAGCTTCTCGAATTTCCTTCAGTATTTCAGCTTCCATGGCAGGGTTATTACAGATATCAACCCATGTTCCTTCTACCCCTTTCTGTTGTGCCAAAAGTGTCAACCTTTTCTGATTAGGAACCACAAAACTTATCACATAGGACTGATCACTAAAATATTAGAAAATAAAATAGCAATTAATATACTGAGCCAACCTTTTCATAAAATTTTCAACTAAACAGTATACTACAGATAATTCCAAATACAAATTTTTCTTATTTGTTAACACTGCAATATTAAGTGAGAAAACTCATAACCCTGACACAAAAACAAACAAGTATACCAATGAACTAGAAAAAATAGCTCAAAAATAAACTCAAATGATCTTCAAAAAGTGGTGAAAGAGTAATTTCTTCAACAAATAGTGCTGCAAAAACTGAATATCCACATAAAAACATGAAGATGGACCTTTACAACCTGTGTAAAAACACTCAAAATGAATCAAGTAATTAAACATTTATAAAACTCCTAGAAGAAAACATATGGAAAATGTTTCATGATAATGGACTTGGAGATTTAACTTAAATATGACACCAAAAGTACAGGCACAAAAAAAAAGGAAAAATCGATAAATGGGACTACATTAAAATTAAAAATATCTAGAATTCAAAGAACACAAAAAGCTGAGCAAATATTGCATTGTACTGTGAAGGGAGAAAAGATTTGCAAGTCATGTATCTGACAAAAGGTTACACAATAGTTAAAGAACTATAACTCAAAAACAAAAAATCCAGCCCAATAAACTCAATAAAAAAAAAATCCAAATAGCTCCATTTAAAAACTAGGAAAAGTGGGCCGAGGATTTAGCTCAGTGGTTCTGCTGCCTGCCTCACAAGTACAAGGTCCCAAGTTCTATCCCCAGTACCAAAAACAAAAACAAAAAAACACAGCGACAACATTTCGCTGGGCGTGGTGGCACACACCTGTAATCCCAGCACTCAGGAGGCTGAGGCAGGAGGATTGCTATGAGTTTTAGACCAGCCTGGACTACATAGCGAGTTCCAGGTCAGTCTCAACTACATAGTGAGACCCTGTCTCAAAAAAAACTAGGCAAAGAAGCCAGGCACGGTAGTACACTCCTACAATCCCAGCACCCTGGAAAACTGAGACAGGAGGATTGTTGGCTACTTAACGACTTAGACTCTGTTTTAAAATGAAAAATGGCTAAGGATGTAATTCAGTATGAATGCCCTAGGTTCATTCCCCAGTATCGCCAAAAAGAAAAAGGCAAAATGTTTGAAAGTTTGAATAGACATTCCTCCAGGGATTGCTTACAAATAGCCAGCAATCATATGAAAAGGTGTTCAACAGCATGAATCATTAGAGAAATTCAATTCAAAACCACAATGAGAGATTCTCTCACACCCCTTGGGATGACTAATAAATTCAAAAATTGTAAGCAAATGTTGGTGAGGGGGTAGAGAAATTAGAACATCTGGGCACTGTCTGTGAAAATGTAAAAATGTTGCTGCCACTATGGAAAACAGTATTATGGTTCCCTGACAAATCAAAAACAGAACTACCATAGGATTCAGCAATTCCTCATCGGGGTATCTACCCAAAAGAACGGGAAGCAGGACCTCAAAGGATATTTGCATACCCATGTTCATAATAGCCTGTTCACAGATATCGAGAAGTAGAAGAGATCCCTAGTTTCCACTGACAGATAAATGGATAAACACAATGTGACGTACATGTACTGGTCTATTTTTCAACCTTCCAAGTAAAGAAATTCTGATGCATGCTACAACATGGATGAACCTGAAGGACATTATGTATTCTAAGTGAAATAAGCCAAACTCAAGAAGAAAAATACTGCATGTTTCTTCTTAGACAAGATGTCTAGAATAGTTAAATTCATAGAAACAGAAAGAAGAATGTTGATTGCTAGAGGCTGAGGGAAGGGGGAAATGGAGAGCTGTTTAACAAATATAGTTTTAGTTCTGTATGATTTTGCAACCTTAATGAAATTTCTAAGAAAAGTTTGATGATGCCCTTATGACGATATATAATCAAATGTGTTTCTAATTTTCCTTTTACTGTAAGTATATGAAATATTTTGAATGGTACCTTTTGGCAAAAGCACAGATGTTGTCAATAAGTGGACAGTTCTTCAGTGCGGCTTCTACTTTCCCAAGAGACACATATTCTCCAGCTTGTAACTTCACCAGATCTTTCTTACGATCTATAGTCAGGAAGAATGTTGTTACCCACAGTGTGTTTCATTAATTTCTACAGAAATCTTATTTTCTTTGGATTTCGCTGTTTTAATCTTTATTTACAAAGACTCTCCTTCTAGAATTTTGTTATACATAATGCTTGTTTACACGTATCAGTTAAAAAGAAAATGACCACTTAAAGTAGTACTAGCTAAAAGTTATATCCTATACCCAAAGCTTTAACATCTTATCCTGGTATTAAATAATACAATGAAATTAATGGAGAAAACAAGACTGAAGCATTACATTTCAAAGGCAATTCTGCTCCATACCAGCTATGTGATCCTTGGCATATCAGTTAACTTCTCAAACCCGCACTACTATCAGAGAAAATGATGGCTATCTCATATAGGTACATCCCACAAAATCTGCCGCATGGAACGTATTCCAAAAATGTTAAGTCCTATTTTTCCATATTTGATATTATCTTTTAAAAATGACAGTGCTTTAAGAAAATGGTGGAATGAAAGCCTGGCATGGTGGTACACACCCATAATCCCAGCACTGTGGTAGGCTGAGGCAGGAAGATCTCAAGTTTGAGTCCCACATGGGCCACTTAATGAGACCCTTTCTCAAAATAAAAAAATAAAATTAAATTAAAAAGTACAAAGGTCCGGAATCAATCCCCAGTACCATGAAAAAAAGGGAAAAAAGTAACTAAGAATAAGATGGCCCTGTTCAAATAATCATCAGCTTGCCTAACAACCCTTATATGGGTCATGAATTGCCTACCCATAGCACGGGACCCCACTCTATAGGAAAACCTTTAATTTCAGTGGAATGAAGAATCAAGAAGTAAAAAGGTATTGGTTCTCAACTGTACCATGTCTCCTGAGAACTTCCACAGCAGATCAAATTTATAAAGAACCGATTTTCCCTGGAAACTTCTAACTATTTTCAGGTTAGGTATTATACAGTCTGGCAATATATTAAAATGGTCCACTAGAGCTATTACTCAAGCAACTCTATGGCTTAAAAAGGACCTCATTAGGACCCTGAAGAGTGGCCTTTATCAGCTAGTCAATTTTTAACTTTTGCCTGACTAAAGTGAATAGAATATTTCATTTGGAGTCACCTTTGGAGTTGTTGTTTGAATGTAAAGGTCTACTTCAATAAGCTAAGGGCAATGCCAAAGCAACTGATAATCTCAGAACAGACCGATGCCAAGGATTGACATCAATATTTTTTAAGGTTCAGGACTAGTTTAAGCCATTCAACTGGCCAACGGGAAAAAAATACGAACCCATACTATCTCTTGGGTGGGGAGGTAAAGGGAAGGGAAGGCTTGGAATAGAGTATTTCAGTAAATAGGTTATAGTGAACCACAAAAGAAAGATATTTTTTGTTTTGTATTTTCATTAACCAGTCTGTTTTCCTGCCCCTCAATATTGCTATTATTGCTACTACTAATTAAAGTTCAGGTACTTCTCAGAATAATTTACATATATCAATTAATTTAATGCTGATAGCTACCCTATGAGTTTGATATTCTTGTCCCTTTTTTAAAGACGGAGAAATTCAGGTATAAGCTAAATAACTTGCTAAAAACTGGACCTCATGAATCATTAAACCCTATTGTTGTTCTGACCAATATTATCTTTCACATATGTTGAAATTACATAAACTATAGAAAAGCACAAGGAAGACATTAACCTATAATCTGTAAACATCCATCAGGATGGAATTCTCCAATATCACCAGTGCAAAACCACCTCTGTCCATTTTCATCCACAGAATAATCCTCTGCTGTTTTCTCTTCATTTTTAAAATATCCCATGGAGATATTCTGCCCGCCAATTACAATTTCACCTCTGGGGTTTGGCTTATCGTGAACTGTATAACCACCTGGAAATCACAAAAGCAAATCAGCTATTCTTGTAAATCAAAATTTACCTTCACTGATTCTTAAAGCTCCTTTGTTAATATCTTCCTGCTGATCAAATTTGGCATCATTTTTATGAAAATATTATTAGCTTATATTTAATCAGTTTTTCACTAGGTTAATGAGGGATTATGATTTCAGGAGCATAAGGAAAGGCTCAAAAATAAACACTGCCAACAATCATCCATCCCAAACATTCCTGTGACATAAAACTTCACACTTAAGAGTGTTATTAAGGCTTGACGCTCATAGAACTGACAAAATAAAATACTCTCAACAAGATTAATACCATACCTAAAGCTATTATAAATAAATTACTGATACATTGTTATCAATGTATTTCAGAGTTTTTCTAAGGAGATTTCAACCAAAGAGAACAGGCAGTGAGTACCTAAGAAAAGTAATGTCATTACATGAGAGGAAAAGGGAAGCTATGGGAAATGGGGAATATTTTATTAATTTTGCCTGTGGCCAGTCATAACTTTAAAAATTAAGACACAAAAAGCAATGACAATAACTGGTAAAATATTTTATTACTACTCATTAACACAATATTACTGAATAAAGCTTATTTTATTTATTTATTTATTTTTATTTGAGACAGGGTCTCACTATGTAGTTGAGACTGACCTGGAACTCACTAGCCCAGAATAGTCTCGAACTCACAGCGATCCTCCTGCCTCAGCCTCCCGAGTGATGGGATTACAGGTGTGCGCCACCACGCCCGGCTCAATAAAACTTGAAAATATGCAAAACTCTGAATTCATAAACTGAGATCTTGATTATGTTTTATGTCATAAAAAGATTAAAAGCACAGTTCTGTTCAACTATAGGCTATTCTTATAATTTTAAAACTATTCAGTACATCAATATAACAAAACTTATTGTGACAAAACTCATTTTACACAAGACATTAAGTTCATTCCTATCATCTGATGCCAAGAATTTGGAAAACTCAAAATACATGTTCAAAAAACAAATCTGCCCCATAAATTTGACATCAGGGAATGCACCAAGGATTCAGAAAATAAAAATTAAAGGCAAAGTTCTCCTTACCAACTTTTACTATATAGATTTGTCTGGTTTCAGTGCTGGACCAATAATCCCTCCAATAAAATTTTGATACTGATGCCCAATACATATATACATATATACCTTTATTTTCTTCAGATTATCATTGCAAATTGGAATGACATCACCTTAGAATATAAGAAGACTTAGTCCCAAAATGCAAAACTCTTGGGATACACTTGGCTCACACTAATTCAACACCCACCTGTGCAACATAGCAAAATTCTAGCAATAAAAAATGGCTTTTAAAAAAGAAATAGTTGTTTCCTTACAGATAACTGACAATATTTCACATTATAAGAAATTCACATGGGGAAACACTTTCAAAATTTGAGACGTTTATGTTAGATTAAGCTCATTCATTTTCCTGGGGTTTGGCTAACATAATGGAAGAATCAACCATTACTGCTTTAAGCTTCAGTCCATGGCTCCATCCAAAATAAGTAAACTTTTTTAAAAGTTTAAGATTTTAAATTACTCTTTCTTTATATGACATGACTAATTATTTAATAATCTACTGTAGTACATTTAGTGTCTTTAACTGTGTTTATCATAGAAAGATTGGTTTACTTTTGCCTCCAGCACGTTTTGTAGAAAAGATGATCACCAACCTTTATAGTATAAGTTTCCTTTAAGTGGCTTGTCTCTGCAGGAACATGTAAAAATTCAACGGCACAACTAGCTGGACAGGTGAGTCTCAATTATGAAAATCTTTTCTTTGTGTAAGGATCTAAGATGTTGGTAATAGTATATGCATGTATATAATCAATCACTCTGCTTCCCCAAAATTTGAGATTTCTGAGTCCCAAATCCTCACTAACAAAATAAGGCTTCAAAGGATCGCACCCTTCTCTAAATACAGGGAAAGCCCTGCTAAGAATATTTTTCTACTTTGCCATCAAGTATTCATAAGTTGGGAATCTAGAATCTAGAAATTTTTCTTTTGCTCTTAGAAACTTAAATGTTTTATTGAGAAAAAAAGAAAGCACAGGCAACTGCAAAGAATCACTTGCTTCAGCAGACAACATTTTAAAGAAATGAGGTCCTGCTATGACCCATCCTGACAGCTGACAATGACAGAGGAGCTGAGAGGCTCTATGCATGGTTCCAACATAATGCTTGAAGAGACTTAACTGACCTTGATAGATAGCAAGAGGTTCATGTTGCCTGACACAGATCTCACTTTAACTTAGTCTTAAACACCCAGCAGAAAAGAATAACCAAAAGAGGTATAAAATAATGCCATAGTAACAAAGCTAACTATAAAAAGGGGCTCCAGTCATTGACCCCTTCTAGCAGTTTCCATCTCTACCAGTAGCTGACCATGCATTTCAATTTCTAAGTGTGACTTTCTCCCCAACCTGCCCTTTCCTTCTAGTCTGCTCATGCTTAGATTATGCATACTCTAATTTTTTTTAAAGTTTTGTTTATTCTTGCCTATAGGCTGCCAAACTCTAATGGGTCATACAAATGGAACCAATGACAAATGTGCTAAACTTCTTTTACCGGGATCCACCAGCTCAACCTTGTAAACAGCTCATAACTGCTAAACTATACAAATATGACTTCTCTGTTAGATTCTGAAGTCCCCAGGACCTTCCCCGTATCCTCTTTATGGGCTATATTCATAGCAATCCTAATGACCTTATAATGTAGCCTACGCATTCTTAACTGTTTCTTTGGCTTTGTCTCCTCCAGACTTAAAAGCTATGCAGCTACCAAGATGACAATGCCAGGAACCTATGAAAGGCCTTTAGATAGACCCTCTGTAGAGTAACTCTACTTCTGATCACAACTATGACCCTCTTCAGCTGGAAGTAACCAGAGCTGTCATTGCCCTTTGCCCCGTCACAGTGGTGAGGGTGCTTCTTCAGAGGAGAGGATAGTGCAGATAGGTAAGTTAATTAGATATCTTGTAGGCAGTTAGACAGGACCAGACCATGAGGAGCCAACATGGAGGACAAGACACATTCACCAAAGGCCAGAATTGTACAAGGAGAAAAAGTACTGTACCCTTGTGCTTCCCCTGTGGATAAAGAGCAGTGATTGATATACTAAATAGGTACCAATCACCTGGGGGGGGGCAAGGTTTTAACCCAGCCTTTCCATGAAATATACCTGATGCCCAGCCTTACTGAAAATCCTTGTAGGCTTGCTATGCGACTTGCTCCCCCATTTGACCCCCATTTAATCAATATTACCTAGGGGATTATACTGTAATTTTTTTTTTTTTTTTTTTTTTGGTACCAGGGATCGAACTCGGGTCCTTGCGCTTGCAAGGCAGACAGCAGAACCACTGAGCTAAAACCCTGGCCCTGTACTGTAATCTCATTGGTTGGTCATGGTTTGACACCACCTTGTAATTTTCCATTGTGTCTTATAGTTTTGGTCCACTTTAAACCTGCCTTATCACATGGTTTTGTTGTATAAAACATCTTGGATAAGTGGGCTGAGTGGGTAACCCACTTTCCAGTCCCCCTTCTGTCTCTTAGAAGCTTTCTTTCCCTCAATAAATTTTTCCTACTCTTAAAAAAAAATAAAAAAGAAATGAGGTCCTGAGGTTCAGTGATTTTCTGCGAATCTGGAATCATCAGTAGGGCTTGTCATGAAATTCTTACCTTCCTGCCAGTCTTTTAGTTTAATTTCACAGCAAATAAGAGGAGCTCCAACTCTGCCAGTAGTATAGTCAGTAACTATGAGATAAAAAGCAACAGAGATATTAATTAGCATGCTACATTTCAGATGTGCACACACTGATGGCAGAAACACTGGATTTAGAGCCAGAGTATGAAAGAAAACAAGACGCTATAGTACAAGAAGTGCAAAGAGTAATCATTTTCCAGTGTTTCAACTCCATCTCAATAGTACATTTTTTTTTGCTGTTCAGGGTTGTATTTTAGATAATTCAGTATTAAAAGTTTTGTTAGAAGAGGGGGCTTGGCTCCACCACTATCTACCTCAGATTTTCATGAGAGAGATTTTGATAAGAATTCCTGCTCTATCAATTATTGGCTGTGTAACTTGGACAAGTCACTTAACATCTCTAAGCCTGTATTTTTTCTACTAAAAGATAGTAATAAAAACTTCATAAAGGGATAGATTATGAGGATTAAATGAGATGATATGCAATTAACACTTCTTAAAACAAACTAAGTGTTCAATGAATGGTAGCTGATGTTATGAAGCATGATGATGGTGACACTATTCCTTTGCATTTTGAGATTACTGTTAGCAATAATAACATTATCTATAGACAGCTTATTAAGTACCTAGCACTGTATTGCGATGAAAATACACATTCCTCAGTGATCTAAGTTGTTTTACCTAAGAAGAAATGCATGTGAAACAATTTGGAGAACTTCTAAATGCAAAACTGGATGGTGCTCATGGCAATTATAATAGTATCTTAGAGACTAAAAGTATTGATATAAAATGAAACTGTTGGGAAAGACTACTTTTAAGATGTCTGTGGGAAAGGATGGTTATGACCCGTTTACAGAAAGGGCATTCCAAGGAAAGGGAACAGAAACTACAGAGAAGTGAGATTGTGGAAGAACAGAGTATGTGGAAGAAACAATTGGCTTGTTAGAACAGAAAAGTCAGGTATGAGCATAGGTGGAGAATAATGATGGAATGATGTGATGGTGCCAGATTGAAGACATCTTGAAAGCTAGATCAAAGTGTATTTAGATTTTATATAGCTTCTGTCAAGCAATGGGTGATACAAATGTGTCTAATAAAAGGATACCAGATAGATTTCATATAACAGGCAGATACAGATGTTGAAGGCTGTCACCTCAGAGCAGTTGAAGTAATATAAGGTTGGATGACAAAATTGGCATGGAAAGGAAGGAGCAGCCTAAAAAAGGAATGGGAAGATCTGATGAACACTGAAAATATTAAAAAGTAAACATTTGAAGATTTCAAAGCCAATAACCTGAATGACATTAAGGATGGTGATACCATGGACACAAACAAGTAATTTGGCAATGGGAAGAGAGTCTGTAAAAAAGGCATAGATTTTGGACACAATGAGGAATAAGGAATAGTGACATCATTTTAAAAAGTTCATATATCCCAGTGTTTCTCAGCCTGCGGTGATTTTGCCTCCCAGAGGATATGTGGCAATGTTTGGAGACATGTTTTATTATGACAGCTGGGGTGAGCAAGTTACTACTAGTATCTGACTGCCAAACATCCTTTAATGCACAAATGATCATGCAAGAACAATATCTGGTTCCAAATGTGAACAGTGTCAAGGTGGAGAAATGCTGCCTGAGGGTGTTAAAAATCCCAGTAGAGAAAGCAAAGAAGTCCTAACAGGAATGCATATTCAAGAGGGTCATAAAATGATATTTCATTCCAAGAGTATAGTTCTCTGAAAAAGTCATTATCTAGAGAAAAGTTAAAGGACCAAGGTGATAGAATTTTGAAGACAGATAATGTGCCATAAATATTTACAAGGCTTACAAATAAAAGGTACATGTGATACTCTTAAGTAAGCATTTATAAAACTATGTAGATTTGCATTGAATTTGCTCTCACTTAAGAGACTACAAAAAATCATGATTTCCAAGCTGGATGTGGTTGCACTTGCCTGTAATTCCAACTAAATGCAAGGCTGAGGATTACTACCTTGAGGCCAGCCTCAGCCACTTTAGTGAGACTGTCTAAAAAATAAATAAATAAAATGGGCTGGGGAGGTAGCTCAGTGCTTCTGAGTTCAAACCCCAGTACTGAAAAAAGAAAAATGGGCAGACTGGGGGTTTAGCTCAGTGGTTCTGCTTCCTGCCTTGAAAATGCAAAGTCCAGAGTTTGGTGCCCAGTACCCCCACAAAAAAAAAAAGAAAAGAAAAATTGGAGAGAGGAGAAAGAGAAATCATGGCTTCCAGAGGTAATGCAAATGCATGTCATTATTAGTAACTAAAACAAAGTGATGTGCCACATTCCCAGTGCTTACCTTCAGTAACTGTCCCAGCACCACATGATTCTGTCAGTCCATAGCCCTGGCCAATGGGACAGCAGAAGCAGACATTCATGAACCGGTGTGTCTGAGGAGACAGCGGTGCCCCACCAGACAGCATCATACGGACATTCCCTCCCAGCAGAGACTTGACTTTTTTAAACAGTAACCTTGATGAAAGGGGAAATAAGTAATTTAATACATGCATATCTTATTCTTGATGACACACTAATTTATAAACTCTGGGAAAGATTTTTCAGCTTTGATGCCAGAAAATCTAAAATCAAAACCAAAAAAACGTAGTACTGGGAAACTGTTCTGACACATTATGAATTACTGTAAATGATGATCTCAAAGGAAAAAGCTTCCGCTATCTTTGGAACATTTAGTCACTTATCTTATTTTCCTTCTATGATAAATACTTACTTATCCCTACCCACAGGCAAAAACCACATTTAAAATTATTGTTATATTCATATATTTACCATAGTATTTACAAATAATAATAAATTGCAAAATTTTATGCAGCAATCTTGAATGTCACCCTTTTTTTAGTCAGATCTGATACTTTTAAAATTCAAGTGTTTTGATTTAAAAGTGTATTCTAGTTTACCTTCATGAGATCCTCTGCTTGTTGTATAAACAATGAGACTTAGAATAAAAAAGAACTTCAGCATTATAAAGATAGTGGTAATATTCAAACTAAATTTAATTTGTCGTTTACTTACATCTTCCATATTTACAAAAGCAAAAATATTTACAGGCACTGTGGTATATACCCATAGTCTCAGCTGTTCTGGGATGCTGAGGAAAGGAGAAATCTCTTGAGCCCAGGAGTTCTATGCTAGACTGGACAACACAGTAAAACTCTGTCTCAAAATAAATAAATAATCTAAGCCTCAAACCACGGGGCCTATAAGATGTACTTACAGATTGCAAAGAGGTGCATCATATCCTTTTTTGATCTGTTCCAATTTGTAATCATACCCTATCTTAAACAGAGTTTTCTGAATATAATTCATTTCTTGAACTTTGCTCATAACATTCTTATAAATTCTATCCATGATTTCCTAAAAAGTAAACAAAATATTCAATAATCCTAAAAGAATTGTATCAATACTAAGAGTCTTTAATTGGAAATAGTTATTTGTAACATATTAGGTTGGCATTTCTAAGGTAATGGACATACTCATTTCTTTCAGTATAGAATTTACTTGTTCACTACTTCAAGAAGACTAAGGGTAATACGTATATTAAGATAACACATTTTATCCCATAAATATATACAAGTATTTGTCTCTCAAAAGTAAAATAAAATTTTAAAAAATTAAGTACAAGTAGAGGGGTTTCTTTAGTACTACATACAAGTACCTCTAATTTTTTTGTTTGTTTGTTTTTCGAGACAGGGTCTCACTATGTAGTTGAGACTGACCTGGAACTCACTATGCAGCCCAGGCTAGTCTCGAACTCAGAGCGATCCTCCTGCCTCAGCCTCCCGAGTGCTGGAATTACAGGTGTGCGCCACCATACCCAGCATCATCTAAATTTTTAAGAAATGTTAACTAGAGTGTACAAAATTTATTCAGATCTCACAGAAAAAAATTTTCTTGAAAATCCTCATCTTTCAAATAAATTCACGTATTTTCAGACAGTACTGAAATACCAAAATATGATGAATCTAAACCTAATAATTTTGTCTTTATTAATATGACCTTGTGACTGTCTTACACATGGCAGAGAGTGTTATGGTTACTTAAAAATCAATGGCCCTGCAATTTAGGCATTTCTATTCCCTTTTAATGGAACCAAAGATAACAAGAAAGAACAAAATTCCTGCTCAAAGCTACTTGAGAAGACAGGATGAGTTTTGGGACAAACTGACTTCCAGACTAATGCATAACACATAAAAAAGCAAACAATCTAATCACTAAATGATGCTTTATTGAAATTACTTAGTCCAGATTAATAAGCACTGTCACATAAACCACACCTGTTTGTAAATATGTGGTTGTAAATATTTAAAGAACCAATCATCAATGTAAATATGTCTGTGCTATAAAGAATAACTTTATGGATGGTTCTTTCAATATTAGAATAGTCATTCATAGATGAGGTCAGCAGAACCAACTTTTAAAAAGGCTACCATGGCATTCAAGTAAGTATAATTTTTTTACAATTCCACAAAAGGAATCAGAATTATATAACTAAAATATTTATCTCGCTCCACAACTGAGAAATTCCAACATTTTTGCAGAGGGACTCTACTGTCCTATAACCACCTCTCTCAAAAAGCATATGGGATTCTAAAACACACACAAAAACAAATCCATGGGAGTGAGCCAGATGAGTGAGAACCACCTCCACTGCTTTTTCAACACTAGATATTAAATATAGGCATGGAGGGCCAGGAATGTAGCTCAGGGGCCCTGTACCTGCCTGGCAAGTGCAAGGTCCTGAATTCAGTTCCCTGTACCAAAAACCATCAAAACACAGGCACAGAAAGGCCTCAGTAAGGAATACAATAAACTTGCAACAAGTTGGTAGGATTTATTATAAGCAGTGATTTATCCTGAATTCTCACAGTATTAATAGTACTAATTCAAATTTTTATTCCCACTCAGAAAAGAAATTAACTCAGAAAACAGAACCTATCAAAAACAATTCTAAATAAAGAGATTTTTTCATTTAACAAGAGTCAGGTAGCAGGAGGGAAGAGAAGGGGTTGAAAAAAGCAATCAAGATGTGTTATATACATTCACCAACTCCATGCAAAGAATGTAAACATTATGGACTACAAACATATACTAATTTTTAAAAAGATAAGAAAGAAAGTTTATTTGTAAAGAAGTAGGAGGAACTAAAGGAGCCAAAAAGATTTGGTGAAGTACCAATGGACTAGCAACAAAGACCATTTGCAATTAAAAAGTAAAAGGAAGAAAGTATCACTGGAATCTGGATAAGGACTGTAGCTATGGTAAAGCCCTGGTTAGAGGTAACAGGAAAGAGCCTGTCCAATGGGTGACTGACACTTGCTAACCTCACAGATCCATACATTAAGGAGTTGATAAAAATGCAGACCTCTACCTTCCTACCCTTTGATCTTTCATGAGTGACTTCAACTGGCTGAACCCAAGCAGAAGTTATAAGGCAAGGAATCTCTTGTATTTCATTTATAGATGTTAGCTTCCCAGCACAAAGCAGGAAAGTGAAAAATGGACAATGGTAACAACAGACCAGTACTGGTAAGAAGAGGAACTGCATGGAGCTCTTCTGCAGCTCTCCCCTAGTCCCCAGACCTCCTCAGCAGAACACTAAGAGGCAGAGCCACTTGGCACCTGAAGCATCCACTGAGCCCGCCCACCCCAACCTCTGGCAACCTGGTTGTGCTGGTACTTGGATTCACACCACAGAAGCACAGGGGAGTCATAAAGGCCATTTTCCTGGGCTCCAGTCTTGATGTTGATTTAATTCACACAGTCAAATGTGATAACTACCACAAATTGTCATTTTCTAAGCTGTGCTTCATGCTTTTGCTTGGCTGATTGTATCAATTGGGATGAGATGTTGTGACTGATTTAACCAGTTGTCCTTCCTGCTATAATGAAAGAGAGATTGTCTCAGAGTCATTAGAGACTCAAAACCTAAAGAGAACCTATAACAGGAAGATCCAAGTATTAACCCAAGTACCAAACCAAGAATAGTACCAACAACAAAAATAAAAATGGGAAGACATTCAAACAAGGCTCAAGCACAAATACAGACTTCCAGCTTACTGAGGGTAAATTGTAGGGGAACTGAGATGGAAAAGTCTGATAATCAACCATCTGGACACCCACCCTGAACTGATGGCACAGGAAGTAACAAAACAGATGAATGAGGTTCTATAAAAATTCAAAACAGAAATAATTTCCAAGATAACTGCAGTGATGGTGAGCAGAATGAATGACATTAGTGATTCTAGAACAGAAACAAATAAAAAAAATGCATGAGCTTAGGACCATGACAGAAGTCATGAATGACTAGCATAGGAGAGAAATGGAAACAATGAATGCACAACATAGGAAATAAATGGAATCCATGAAACAGATTCAAACAGAAATCCAGGAGATTAAAAATTCTACAGAAAGTTTAAATAATAGATTGAACCAATCTGAAGACAGGATATCAGATACAGAAGACAGGATGGAGGTCAGTGACCATGAAAACAAGGATCTCTTAAAAATAGTAAGGGAGCATGAGAAATCAATCCAACAGCTCCTAAATGACACAAAAAAGAATAATATAAGACTGATAGGAGTCCATGAAAAACAAGGAGAAAGTACAAATGACATTAAAAAACTGTTCACAGAATTAATGACAGAAAACTTCCCAAACAGAGCAAAAGAATTTGACATGCAGATAAGTGAAGCATATAGGATTTCAAATAGCTATGATCAAAAAAAAAAATCTACACCTAGACATATAATAATTAAAATCCCAGAAACTTAACAAAAGAACAAAATACTACAAGCAGTTAGAGAAAATAAACAAATCACATGCAAAGGAAAGCCCATCAGAATCACAGCAGACTTTTCAACACAAACCCTCAAGTCAAGGTGAGCCTGGAGCGAAGTATTTCAAGCCCCAATAGAAAACAATCTCCAACTTAGACTGATGCATCCTGGAAAACTCTCTTTCAAAATTGATGGGGAAATAAGGTATCTCCATGATAAAGAACACTTGAAAAATTTCAAGAATACCAAAACATCACTCCAAATAATTCTAAATAATATCCTAGAAAAAGACAATTAAGATCACAACTCTATGAGGGCCAACAGAGCAAATCCATTATACAAGGCAAGAAATAAAAGGGAGAGGGGCCAAAATTACAAAGAGCCAACAACAAGATAATAATAATATGATGATAACTAAATACATATCAGTTATAACCATCAATGTTAATGGCCTCAATTTACCAATCAAAAGAAATCAACTGGCAGAATGGATTAAGAAGTAAAATCTATTATGCTGTATACAAGAAATGCACCTAGTTCAAAAAGAAACTCATAGAAAGTAAAAGGATGCAAAACAGTTCTCCATGTAACAACAACATGGAAAAAAGCAGGGGTAGCTATCTGCTTTGCAGACAAAGTAAATTTCAAAACAAAACTAATTAAGAGAGACAAAGAAGGTCATTACATCCTTGTAAAGGAACAATCCAAGAGGAAGAGATAACAATCATAAATATATATGCGCCAAATACTAATGCTCCCAACTATACAAAACAAATATTAAGGGACATGAAAAACCAAATAAGCACTAATACAATTGTAGTGGGGGACATAAATACCCCACTATCACAAATATACAGGTCACCTAGGCAAAAAACAATGACATACACCAAGCTTTTGAACAAATGGACTTAACAGATGGCTACTGAGTGTTCCACCCCACAAAATCAGAATATACATTCTTTTTGGATGCACGCAGGTCATTCTCCAAAATAGACCACATACTAACTCACAGAGCATATTTAAGTAAAAGCAAAGGAGTTGAAGTTATCCCATGGATATTATCAGATCATATTGCAATTAAACTGGAGATCAATAGCAAAAGAAACCGCAAGAACTACACAAACACATGGAAATTGAATAACACTCTCCTGAACAACCAATGCGCCACAGAGGAAATTAAAGAAGAAATTAGAAAATTTTTACAAATTAATGATAATGCCAATACAACATAAAGGAATCCATGGAACACAATGAAACCTGTTCTACATGGAAAAATCATAGCAGTGAAAGCCCACACTAGGAAAGCAGAGCGAGCTTAAATAAACAACCTAATGCTGATTCTTAAGCTCCTAGAAAAAGAAGAGTAAGAAAAACCCAAAGCTTATACAAGGGAGGAAATTATAAATATCAGAAAATAAATCAATGCAATGGATACTAAGAAAATGATACAAAAAAACAATGAATTGAAGAGTTGGTTTTTCAAAAGAATAAATAAAACCAATAAACCCTTAACCAACCTTACCAAAAAAAGGAAACAAAAGGCTCAAACCCATGCAATTAGGAATGAAAAAGGTGAAGTCACAACAGATCCAGCAAATATCCAAAGTATCACCAATACCTACCTACTTTGAGAACCAGTATTCTAATAAATTAGAAAACACAGAAGCAATGGACAAATTTCTAGATACATATGAATTACCAAAGTTGAATGTAGATATAAAATTCTAAATACCAAAATTACAATCAATGAAATTGAAAATGTAATAAAAATTTACCAACAAAGAAAAGCCCAGGTCCTGATGGATTCACTGCTGAATTCTATGAAACATTTAAAGAACTAATGCCACTACTCTTTAAATTTTTCAATGAAATTGAAAGGGAAGCAATACTCCAAACTTCATTCCTGGAAGCAAGTGTTACTCTGATTCCAAAAGGGAATCAAAGGGAAAGACCCAACCAAAAAAGAGAAGTACAGACCAATCTCCCTAATGAACATAGATGCAAAAATCCTAAATAAGATACTGGCAAATAGAATATCAAGGGTCATCAAGATCATACAACCTCACCAAGTTAGATTGATCTCAGAGATGCAAGGATGGTTCAACATATGCGAATCAATAAATGTAATAATACACTATATGCCAGAGTCAAGGACAAAAAACATATGATCATCTCAACAGATGCAGAAAGAACATTCAACAAAATTCAACACCCATTCACGATGAAAACTCTGCTGAAAATTGGAATACATGATCTTTATCTCAACTTGATAAAGGCAATCAATGAAAATCCAACAGCCAACATCATACTAAACGGTCAAAAAACTGAAAACCTTCATGCTAAAATCAAGAACAAGACAAGGATGTCCGCTGTCATCACTCCTGTTCAGTATAGTTTTGGAAATATTAGACACAGCAATTAGACAAGAGAAACATCTAAAAGCAATAAAGATAGGAAAGGAAGAAATTAAAGTGTCATTATTTGCTGATGATATGATACTGTACATAGAAGACCCCAAAAAATTCTGCCAAAAGACTTCTAGACTTAATTGACACTTTCAGCAGAGAAGCTGGATACAAGGTCAACACTGGAAAATCAATTACCTTCTTGTTCACAAATAACAGACTCATTGAGAGAGAAATTATGTAAACAATTCCTTTCACAATAGCATCCAGAAAAAATGAAACATCTAGGCATCAATCTAACACAGGAAGCAAAAGTCTTCTACATTGAGAATTACAATACTCTGAAAAAAGAGATCAAAGAGGATATAAGAAAATGGGAAGATATCCCTGTTCCTGGTTAGGAAGAAGCCATAGAGTGAAAATGGCATACTTCCAAAACTAGTATACAGATTCAATGCAATCCCAATTGAAATCCCAACAGTATACATCACAGAAATAGAGAAGACAATCCAAAAATTCATTTGGAACCAGAAAAGACCTAGAATAGCAAAAGCCATTCTAGGCAACAGAGACATGGCAGGAGGTATCACAATCCTCAACTTGAAACTATGCTACAAAGCCACTGTGTTAATAAGCACACAGTACTGGCAAAGAAACAGAACCAAGGATCAGTGGAATAGTTTAGAAGATGAAGAAACAACTCCAGACATACACTCTGCTACCTCATCTTTAACAAAGGAGCCAACCATCCATCCTCTCTGGAGGAAAGATAGCCTCTTTAATAAATGGTGTTGGAAAAACTGGATTTCATCCTGCCAAAGATTAAAACTAGACCCTTATCTTTCACCATGCACTAAACTAAAATCCAAGTGGATTAAAGATCTAAATATTAAAACAGAAACACTAAACTGCTGGAAGATGTTAGGCAGAACTCTTGAAGACATTGGCATAGGAAGACTTTATGAACAAACCCTCAGTAGCACAGGAACTAGCAGAAAGAATCAACAACTGGGATCTCATCTTATTAAAAAGCTTCTGCACTGCAAAAGAAACCATCAACAGAACTAAGAGACAACCTACAATGTGGGAAAAAATTTTTACCAGCTTCTCCTCAGACAAAGGACTATTATAGAGAATATATAAAGAACTCAAAAAAATCAGGCCCCCTAAATATAAAGCCCCAATTCAAAAATGGGCACCTGAAATGAACAAACATTTCTCAGACAAAGAAGTAAAAGCAGCAAATAAATATATGAAAAATGCTCCACATCAATGGTTGTTAGAGAGATGCAGATGAAAACAACACTGAGATTCCACCTCACCTCACAAAAATGGCTGCTATCAAGAAATCAACCAATAACAAATGTTGGCGGGGTTGTGGGGAGAAAGGAACCCTTCTCCATAGTTGGTGGGAGTGAAGACTGGTGCAACCACTGTGGAAATCAATATGGAGATACCTGAAACAACTACGATTAGAAGTCCCATTTGACTCAGCTATTCCTCTGCTGGGTATCTTCCTAAAAGAATTAAAAGAGTCATACCACAGCAATACATGCTCACCAATGATTACAGAGGCCCAGTTTGTAATACCTAAAACTTGGAAGCTGCCTAATTGTCCATCAACTAGAGAGTGGATAAAGATGTGTTTTTTTGTTGTTGTTTTTTTTTATAAAATGGAGTACTACTCAGTCATAAAGTACAAAAAGACATTTATAGCTAAGTAAATGCACATTGAAGACATACATTTAAGTGAAATTAATAGGACACACATGTGTAAATATCATAGTTTGTCTTGTGTGATAAACTAAAAGTGTAAATAAGGTTCAAAATGTATAATTGATATTTTTTAATAGGAAGAAAAGGTCTAAAGTTATTGGGCAAATGAGAGGGGTAGGGGAAAGGTAAAAAGGAAGAGAAAAAATAAGAGAAAGGGAAAAAATGGAAACAAAACCATTGTAAATAGGGAAGGATGGAGAGGGTAAGGGAGGCTAGGGGAATGGGGAAAAAATAAGAACCACAATATGTCATGTAAAGTTACTAGATCCCAATGATGAATGTAACTCTACTGTATATCTAAAATGCACCAATAAAAATATTTTTAAAAAGAATGGACAATGACCAATTAGAGGAATTATCTGCTAATTCTTATTCTTTAAGCCTAATATCAGAGATTTTTTACTTCCTTGACATCTTGGTTCTTCATCTTCACTACATTCTCTGATGAGTTTTACAAGGGAGTCCTGAACTTAGGTTTCTTTTTTTTTTTGGTACTAGGGATTGTGAAGCAGGCAGTGGGGAGTCCTGAACTTTGGGCAATAAAGTCTATATATTTTTCTCAAAATTTAACATACAACCATGCTCAATAGATAGTCATAGTGGTTAATAAGACTTCGCTACTAAATTGGTAGACTGCAAGCTCTGATTCTACAACCTATAAATGATGTGGCTTTGGGCAAGTTTCTTCCTGTACTGGAAAAGATGAGGGTAACACGGCCAATCCAGCAGAGTATTAATGATAATTAGCGTGCATCACAGCATTATGCTAGCTATTCTTAGCATCATTTCATGATGGGTTTAGTCAGAAGCCTCTTTTTAGCTTGAAAACTTGCTGGATTCTATGGTTCTTCTAATTAAAAAGGTAAAGACATCTCTGACTTATTCTAATTCTTCGATTATTTGATAATTTTTGTATGTAGAAGCAAAAACAAAAAACCTGTAAAATATCTTCCATCTGTAATGCTTTAAAAAACTTGGATTGAACATAATACTATCTAATGTCAGACTTTGCATGAACAGACGTAATTCTGTGGTAGACAGTGGCATAAAATTTTAATCTTAATCCCACTTATCTAGTTATAAGACAAGTAGAAATACACAGTCTCTCTAAGGTTTCCAAAGTATAATGGTTCCAGAACATATTTGATTATACAAATTGAAACACTGTGGCAAATGCTTCAAAATTCATCATTACGAGGCTATAAAATATAATATCTTTTTCTGTTGTGCCCTAGTAGGGATTGAACCTAGGGCCTTGCTACATCCATGGCCCAAAATCTTGTTTTGTTTTTTTTGAGGGGGAGATTCACAAAAGGATTTTGAGTGTGAAAAATTACTCTTTGTTTACTTTGGAAGCTCTCCCAAAAGGACAGCTTTCCTCAGGCATCATAAGGAGGTCACAGGGACTTCTATCCTAGACTCTGCCCTGTCACTAACTTCATAACCTTGGAAATGCTGCCTTAGCCAAGGAGGCCTAGACAATTTCCTGTTTTTCAAAATTAAAAGTTCATACAAAATGATCTTAGGAATATATTCTACATTTAAATATTGTGATCAAGTCTCACACTAGATAATTTGAATGAGGTCCTTTTCCTTACCTAATTTTCGAGCATCACCAAGCACTTGCAAAAATATATTTCTAAAGCTTGCCCTTTCACCCTTCCCAATATATCTAAGATTTTTTTTATTGGTACATTTTAGGTATACAATACAGTTACATTCATCTTTGTGATTTAGTACCTTTATATGACATACTTTGTTTCTTATTTTTTCCCTAATCTCCTGGCCTCCCTTCACCCCCTCCGCCCTTCCCTATTTATAAATACTTTGCTTCCATTTTTTCCCCTTCCCTTCTTACCTTTGCCCTACCCCTCCCACTTCCCCTATTCCTTTAGACCTTTTCTTCCTATTACACAATATCAATTATACATTTTGATCCTTATCTACACTTTTAATTTTTCATAACAGAGAAACTATACAGTACTTATACATGTATGTCCTATTAATTTTACTTAAGAGTATGGCCTCAGTGTGCATCCACTGAGCTATAAATGTCTCTAGGCTTTCATTCTTTATGGCTGAGTAGTACTCCATTTTATAAAAAACAAAACAAAAACACATCTTCTTTATCCAGTCTCCCATTGATGAGCAATTGGGCTATTTCCGAGATTTTAAGGAACACATTTGCCATGATTCCAACAAAGTAACATTACTTTAAAATGTACACATATATCTAAGAGTATTACTTTTTTAAAAAGTCCAAGCAAGAAATTATAGAAGCAACCCTCTTCTATCCATATTCATATTCTGTACTCACCGGAACAGCAGCCATTAGTGTTGGTTTCAGTACAGTACAGTCTCCTTTGCTTCCCTTTTTAATTTTGCTGGACTACATTAAAATAAAGTAAACACAATTAAGGAAATCAACCTTAGGAAATGTTATAACTATTAATGGCAAAGATACAAGATACACACGGAATTTGATATTCTACTGTTCTGTGAGTTATCTGTTATAACTATCATAATCTACAAGTCCACAGTCTAAGTGCTTTAGTGCTGTATCCTATAGATTATGGCTTTTAGCAAGTCTCAGCTTTCCTTAGAGAAGAAATTTAGATCCAGGATGACAAGAGAATGGAATATTTTAGTTAATCAAATATTCTTGTTAATATCATATCATCAAATATAGCCCACATTGCATTTCCAAAAACTGTATATTTTTTGTACAGACTTCATTTTCAGAAAAAAAGTTCATTAAAACAGCTTAATATTAAAACTGGAAGTCACTTTGACTTTCTTTGACCTATCCACAGGCAAAAACACATCTGAAAGACACCACTATGAGCATCATTTAACATCATACAGAAATGATATTTGATGACATTCTAGTTGATAGCATAGGGAGGACATTGTCAGTGGCTGAGTAAAGATATTCATGTGTATGCATGCACACACACATACACATTTCTTCTTTCTTTTTCTGTCTCTCTTTCACACATATGTACTATGAATTTGGGATTTGAAATGTCAGATTCATATGTAAAAAAATTAAAGTCAACAGTGGTATATCCCTGTAATCACAGCTACTTGGGAAACAGAGGTGGGAGGATCAAGAGTTCAAGAGCTAAGAGTCAGCCTGGGAAACTTAGCAAGACCATGTCTCAGAAAAGTTTTTTTTATAAAAAACATGAAATAAAACACACTCATCTACTCAAAAATGTAAGATAAAATTATGAAACTCCTGTAATGCAGATAATTAATCTGTAAGTTTAGATGTACCAAAGGCTAGCTAGGTTACAGGGAAGAAGAAAACCAGCTCTTAAGCAGCGGTGTTTCACAAGAACGACCAGCATAGCTATATAGAAGATTCTGCTGGTAGAATTAAATTGCTTATCTCCTACTAGTCTTTAATACAGATAAAGGACATAAAATGACTCCTTGTGCTTTATTTCTGTGTAAGTGTGTACTCATTTGTTAGAGGAATCTTATACACACATATTCACACTATGTGCAGGGGTGCTCTGTTGGAGGGGTGCTCCAGAGAGAAAAATGGGCTTGCAAGTCCTTCAAGTAGGAGCCGTTCTCTGTGTTATGACCAGTTTTTATGGTAGAGAGCAGCTCCAGAGTAGAGGAGTCACAAAGAGATCTTTCTTGTTTTCTTTATTATTCTTACTAATACAGGTTGAGTGTCCCTTATTCGAAATACTGGGGACCAGATCAGATTTGGGGGGGTCTTTGGAGTATTTGCATACACACAGTGAGCTATCTCTAGGTGGGACCCAAGCATAAACACAAAATTCATTTATGTCTCATATACACCTTATACACATTGCCTGCAGATAAATTCACACAGAATTTTTAGTCCTCCTGTGTTGTGACTAAAACATATCACATAAGGTCAGGTGTGGAATTTTTCACTTGTGTCATCTTGTCAGTTTTATATAAGTTTTAATCTTTGGAGCATTGTAGATTCCAGGTTTTTGGATTAAGGTTTCTTAACCTATATTATCAGGTTTTTTGCCTTATTATGGTCACAGAAACCCTGGTTATTAAAACACTGCTATCATCTGCTACCTTCAATTGTAGTGCCTCTGGTTCCTGTGTTTTTCTAATTTCCTAAGTGAGGATAATTCCTGAGTTTTAGAATCCTAGTAGATTGAGAGGTTTTATTGCTGCCAAGTTCATTTAAAAAGTGGGTAGCAATTATCTTTAATAAGATGTGAATGCCCTAGACCTTGGCCTAACAGACAGCAACAATTAAGTCAGACCAGCAAAAGATTCCAAGTGTCCAACCATCCCCACACTGAGACCACTGGTACTAAAATCATTTTTTCTTTTATCTAGATGGCAATGATGGGAAGTCTACATGTGCGTATTAAATTTAATCAAGCAGTACACTTAAGATTTATGCACTTTATACACCAAAAGCAATAAACCCAAACACAAAGGTATTTGGAATCTCAAATTCAAAAAACTCTATTTTTTGTCTTACTATTATACAGCCTACCCAACCTCTCACTAAATGAAAGGTACTACATGATGAATGTCATCATATTGTATACCTAAAATGTACCAATAAATTTAATGAAAAAAAAAGGTACTATAATATCTAACGATGAGCACTAAAGAAGTATCTTTTTTACCAACTCCATACTCCCTCGGACTCCCAAACAAAAAGTACTGTTGCCTGAGGACCTGAAAAATACCTGCTGAGCCTGCACAAATGGGAGTGGCAGAAACTTCTTATCATTTAGTACCCTGAACTCCATAGCTACTTTAGTAGGTTTTTTCCCCCTACACTTATCCGATTGAAGCTGTTCCATAGCAATATTTCAAAGGAGAAACAGAATTGTGGCCAATAGGTATTGAATGTATAATTCTGGATGTGCTTAAAATACATGAGGGAGTCTTACCACAGTTGGGTTTTCTGCCATGAACAACAGAGAAGGGAGAAACCTGAACTCAGACTAGGAAGGAAAGGGCTACCCTTGGAGATGCGGCAGAGCTGTCCAACAAGAGCGTCCTGCACAGATGGAAACATTCAGTATCTGTGTTGTTCAGTATGATAGCCACTGGTCACATAAAGCTACTGAGAACTTAAAAGAGAAAATGAGAAGCCATATTTTGAAAATTTAAATGTAATTAATTTCTATTTAAAGGTGTGACAAGTAGCTACGGTACTGGGCAACACGATTCTAGAGAAAATTCAGAGGAAATCCAGGCCAAAACCCTACATCTTCTTATCCTCTCATTTTCTATGCTCTTGGATAATATGTCAAAAAAGATTAGTGTTTACATTATTTATCTTAGCTCCCACAGTAAAAGTCTAACACAGAAAGATAAGATGAAAATAATTATTCATTTCAAAATAATCTTAAAATATATAGCTGCAGCAAAGGTAACAAATCCATAGGGTTATTTACTATAGCTACATATTGCTCATGAAAGCTATTTTTGAAGTCCTACAGAACATTTTAACTGAAATAAACATCTCATGTTTCAGTAATATGCCAAGCAATGTAACTTTATATAACCATGCCAATGTACTGAAGTTTGTTACCTGGTCAGATAGTGTAAGTGGAGAAGAATATCCAATCCTACAGCCATAGGTAAAGCAAGATATCTCAGCTGTCAATTCTAACACATGAGCCAAAGGTAAGTAGCCAATATATGTGTCCTTTGGCCTAAAACAAAATAAGAGAAACATTTTAATCAGTCTTAAAAAGATATTTAAAATGAGATACATTAATAACTATATCATTTAATATAGACTGAGTTTACAGAATGCTGAACAGGAGCTCAGCATTTCTGAGATTAGGTTGAGTAATTCTCTCTTACCCTAGTCCCGGTATCCTCTCACATTGGCCTGTCATTCCAGCTATCAAATTACTATGATGCATCATCACTCCCTTAGGGCGGCCAGTAGAACCACTGGTGTACATGACAATGGCCATGTCTGAAGGAGTTGGTCTACTTGGAGGAATGCTTGCTAAATGATTGAAAAAGCACATTTTCTTCAGTTGAAAAGTTAAATTGTTATATAATAGTATATTTCAATTTTGCATCATGATAAACAGTCTAAAGAAAATTACTGATAGGCAAAACAAAAAGTCATTAAATTCTGGTTAACTACAGTGACAATTTCAAACTCAATTTCACCTATTTTCTGAATGTTTTGCTTAATCCCTTCCACCCGTGCCTCTTCACAGTGCTGTACACAAAGAAGTATTATGGAAAGACGGCTAGGACTTTAGAGAATCAAGAGGATAGAGTATTGCGTGAGCTTCCTTTAGACCTCAATTTTCTCATCTCTAAATGAGTCAGTTTAACCAGATTGTGGTTCTTAATCTCTATTGGCCATTAGAATCACCTGTAGAGCTTATACACAATACTATTTTGGAACAACATATCTGAACATTTGGACATGGTATGTCTAGGATTAGACAAAAAGTGACTCTCATACGTAACCTTGGATAAAACTGCTGGAATTGATCTTTAAAGTGATTTCAACTCTAAAATTCGAAAGTGCTAAGTTAGTTTTAAACAGCAACTGGAGTATTCATGCTAACCCAGCAACCTTTCTTCCCCAGAATGCATCAAAATGGCTGAGATTGCACAGATATTTTATCAAAATTAAATACTACTTTAACAAAATTATTAAAATAAAAATGTTTTTAAGTTTGATTTACATTTGAATATACAGGTTAAAATTTTAAAAAGCACTTTAAAGCAAGCAACAACACTGAAGCAACCAAAGTTCTCACTTAAAGCACATAAAATGACACTAACCATCTCTGCACATTGTAATAAGCATGCAAAAATGTCACCATAATAATAACTGTTTACAAAAATTAAGTGCCACAAAAATATGTGGATCCTCTATATCCAAGAGATGAGCAAAACCAGGAAAGGTATCTGACCTGACATGTTATTACTGAAACAAAATTATAAGGAATGATATCCCCTTAAGTTTTGGGCCAACATCTTTTAATGAATCAGTGGAATTGAAAACAGAATCCTACAAATCAGAATTTCCCAGTAAGATATATCCAATTATGCAGGGTTAACCTGGTGTTAATACACAATTCTCCACAGGTCTCTTCTATTTCTACACATCGTGAAAGCAGAGGCACTGACTTTGTTCTATCTTTTCAAGGATTTTTATACAGAGCTAGTCTCTCTAGAGCATAGAGCAGGCATACTTACTGAGCAGTACATAAAGATAATGAAATACTCAGGGGTTCCTTAAGCTCTTTGTTGCTCTCCTATGACACAAATGTTCATAGGATACTCTGACTGCTGCTACTTTGATGAGTAAAAGACTGTACTTCATCCCTGAACTAAAAGTTTCTGTCTCCAAGAAATTTGGTGAGCTTATTTTTTAATTTATGGATAGGGCAAAATCTCAGACAGACTATATGCCATTTTCAACACATAGTAGAAAGCTATAATCTATACCTGTGACTGTAAACACATGTTCATTCTCTAATGGTAAAATATTTGAGGCTAAGTAGAGGTTCACCAACATATTCACCAACATATTCTCCTACCTATATTAATCTTTTCCTCATCTCATATGGTATGATATTGTGACCTTCACATTTAGCACAAGAAAATTATTCAAATTTCTTTAACTCTCTTATTTAATAACCAACTGAAACTTTGCTACAAGGTGCATTTTATTTATTTCAAATGAAGTATCAGCTGCCACTCCACTGGTAAAATACATCTCAGCATTAATCTTGGTGAAAAGCTTTTAATCCTGAGACATCATTAAGATCACTAGTATTAAGCATAAGAAAAAACATTAACTGAATGGAAGGCCTGAGATCTTTTCCTTTTATGGATCCAAATTGGAAGGCTTTTGTAAGTTACATTTTTTAAAAAGAAAAGTTTGGCAGAAGCTGCCATGTAGTCTGAATTTATCACAGCACAACTGTTCAGCAAGTTCTAAACAATGGTATTTATTACCTTCTTGCAGAGAAATGGAGAGAAAATATTAATCATGCAGGATCTTGGTAGTTCTTAAACATTTCATAACTTTTTAAATCAAAGAACTTTAGCATTTTCACTCATTGTACTTTCTAAACTACTAAAATAACAAACCTTGAATAGATGAGTAAATTCATTTTAATTGCTTTACTTACAGTATTCTGGCTTGGATCCCAACTCTTCTACTGATTGCATGCTGTGAATCTCAAATCCCTCAGGGTACTCTGCTTTATTGATAGTCTTATTATCCACATAAATGATGTGTTTAACACAACTGATCTCTAACAGTGCAGTCTGTTGAGCAGGAAGGAAACACAGTTTTTAAATTTGAGCCTGCCATAAAAGTTCACTTTTGGATATTTTTGTACTATCAGTGAACAATGTGATGAATTAAAAATAAAATTTTACTCTTAAGGGCAACCAGACAAATTCAGAATACTGTATGATTATGAACATGGTACAAACCATTTATATCTTTAAATTTTTTATTTTATTTTAATTATTTGGCATCAGGGATCGAACTCGGGACCTTGCACTTGCAAAACAGGCAGTGGAACCACTGAGCTGAATCCCTGGCCTTCATTTACATCTTTAGAATGAAGACTAAAAAAACAAAGGAATTAAAAATAGCAATAACTAAATATAATACAAAAGGCTCTAAAATGGGGTATCAAAGTTTTTCAAATGTGGGAAGGAAAGGAGTCCAATTATTGCATTTTCTTATTAGTATATTTTCTTTCTTTTTTGTTTATCTTTCCAAACATGTGATCCAGCAATTCCACTACTGGATATATATTCAAGAAAAGACATCACTATGTTGAAGAGACATGTATGCTCCCATATTCACTGCAGCACTATGCACAACAGCCAAGAAGTGGAAATAACTGGTTTCCATCAACAGACAAATGGATAACATCAGTGTGTACACGTACACAATGGAATACTATTTGGACATTAAAAGCATTAAATCTTGTCATTTCCAACAATATGGATGAAACAGTTTATCATGTTAAATGAAATAAGCCAGGTACAGAAAGACAACTACTACATGAGTAAACCAATGGGTTCTAAATTATAGTTAGGTAAGAGCAAGAAGTTCCGGCGTGCTGTTGCACAGTAGGGCAACTATGGATAATAATTATGTATTGATCATTTCAAAAAGCTAAAAGTATATTGAAAGTTTTCACCATAAATATAAATGCTTAAGGAAACAGATATGTTTAACCTGATTTAAACATAACACAATTCATAAATGCATCAAAGTACACATGGATCCCCAGAAATTTGTACAATCTTTTTTTTCCTCATTGAGTTTATTGGTACATTTTAGGTATACAGTACAGTTACATTCATTATTGGGATCTTGTATCTTTACATGACAGGTCTTGGTTCTCATTTTTTTCCCCTTATCCCTGCCCTCCTTTCAACCCTCCTCCCCTCCACCTTTACAAACACTTCATTTCCATTTTTTTCATTTTCCCATGTTTTTTTTTTCTTTTCCCTTAGTACCTTTCCTCTACCCTTCCCACTTCCCTTACACCTTTAGCCCCTTTCTTCCTATTTCACATTGTCCATTATATCATTAGGATCTTATGTGCTACTATAGTTTATTCACACCAGAGAAACTATTTGGTATTTACACATGTGTGACTTATTTATTTCACTTAGGAGTATATCCTCAATATGCATCCATTTTCCTATGAATGAATCTAATTTTTCATTCTTTATGGCTGAGTAATATTGCATTTTGTAAATCACATCTTCTTTATCCACTTTCCAACTGATGGGTAAATGAGCTGTTTCCAAGTTTTAGCTATGACAAACTGTGCTGCTATAAACATAGGTGTGCATATATCACTGTGGTATGATTCTTTTAATTCTTTTGGAAAGATACCCAGCAGAGGGATAGCTGGGTCAAATGGAACCTCTAGAGATTTGTACAATCTTATATTTTATATGTTAAAATAAATTTAAGTTAAAAAAATTTCGTATTTACCTTAAGTTTGGTTTCCAGAAGTTCAACACTAGTAATCAGATAGGAAGCTTCAGATTCATTTAGTCCATGAACTACTGCTTCTTTGCCAAGTGTAGCATACAAAGTCACAACTACACAATAAAAAACAAACAAAAACATTAAATGATAAATTATTATTAGAACGATATATTAAAGTCAGCCCTTAATGATAGGTACACTAACAGAAACAAAGTTATTTCATAATTTAGTTGTATTTAATTGTATTTCAAAGTCTCCCTGATATTTGAAAGTTATCCTTATAAATTCCTAGGAGGATTTCTTTTAAAACCTGATAAATACCTAAAAAGCACCAATAAACTCAATGAGAAAAACAAAAACAAAAACAAAAAAATCCGGATGAAATCCAGAAACACAAGCAGTGCCACAACTGGTTAAAAATAGTCAACTGAGATATTCAAGGCCAATAGATCCTAGCTAAACTCTTAATTCAGGTCAGGACCAGCCCAGAAAGGGATCCATTGTGGCACACATTTTTTTGTTGGCCTTTGCTACAAAGAATGAACAAATTCTTGAAAATTTCAAGGATCTCAAAGTCAGAAGATCAGCCACAAATAATGTTCTTACTCCTTCCAAGAAGTTTTTTTCAGTGGGTCCAACTTCAAAACCTATTGATGACTTCCTATACCTTATATGAAGAAGCCAATGAGAACTACCTAGGAACCACCAGACAAACATAATACAAACTGAAACAAAGATCAGTTAGAATCAAAGGACATCTATTAAACTTAGAACAAATAAAATTTTAGCATTTGGCTAGTAACAAGAAACAGTAATACGGTCAAAAACAGCCATTTTCCACCGTTTATTGGGAAAGTTGGGTGATGGGTCTGTAGGGGATGATTTCCATTGTATCTACGGTGGTACCTCAGTTCATGAATGCTTTTGTTGGCAAACAATTTGGTATGCAAACGGAAGCATTTGGGAAACATTTTTTTTTTTGGTACCAGGGATCGAAGTTGGGTCCTTGTGCTTGCAAGGCAGGTGGCAGAACCACTGAGCTAAATCCCCAGCCCTATGCAAACTTTTATTTTTGTCTGTGAACTTTGTACTAGTTAACAAACACATCTTCCCCAAATGAACATAAACGTGGCCATCTTTTCCAGAACTGTGGAATGAAATAAGTTTATGAATTAAGGTACCAGTGTATTTTTGGCTATATGAAATGAAAACTATGATTCCTACACCAAACCTATAGTTTCCATTTCACTAAACAAGCAATTATTACATGACAAGGCATTGTTCTGGACTCCGTTTTTTAAAATTATTTATTGCACCATAGCACAAAACAAATGCTTAAAAACAAAAAACATATCCAATTTTACTTTGTGTTGAACATTTCTAATGCCACTACAAGTTGTCACATAGAAAATGGAATAAATCAAACAGGACTCAAAATGAAGCAACGAACTAGAATTATCCTAACCAAAGCTTTTCTTTGTTTTAATCAGTTTGTACATCACCTCCAAAATCATACCCCCCCATGTCCAAATCCTTCAGGTAATTTCCAATTGAAAAGTAAAATTCTAAATTATATCCATTAAGCTGCTAATTCCCTTACTAGCTCTTAGATGTTACTATCTTTAACAGGAATTATTGGTACCTTTAGCCACAATACTACATACTGTTTTATGGACATAACTAATGTATAAAATTGCAAACCAACATATACTTTGTTTCAAAGTGACTTTATTTTTGTGGTGCTGGCAATGGAACTCAGGGCCTTACACATTCTAGGCAAGTGCTTTCTCACTGAGTGACATCCCCAGTTTAGAAAATCTACTCTGAAAATAGGAGCATTTTAGAACAAGTTTCACATGTAAGAAAAGCCTTCCCTTTACTTCAAAAAACACAAAGCACTTACGAGGAAAGTTGTACTTAAAGCAGGTCTGTGCTGTAATCATCCATTCAGCCCTGGTCTCACAGAAAATAGCAATAGTGTTCTTTGGTTTCAGTCCCAATGCAGTGAGTCCACTGCCAAAATTATTCACTCTTCGGTTTACTTCGAGATAGTTAATCCACTTATAATTCCCAAGAATTAACTGTTAAAGTGAGATAATCTCTAATATTAGTATATTTATTCAAATAAACAATTAAAAAATATTATTTAAAATGTAGAACTCTGAAAATGCCCTTACATGATATGAAGAGGTTAAAGCACTTTTCTGAGAATTAGTTACACAGTACTATAATAGAATGCCAGCATGTTTAAAATGCACTCGATTTATGATAAAGCAAGATGTGAATTCCTTTCTAAAAAATAAAATAAAAAGCATAAAAGCACTTTACCTTCTTAAAAACCTTTCCATTTGGCTGCATTTCATTTTCTTCACTTAGGATTTCCCTGGTCCCAAGGCTGTCCTTCTTTCCAAACTTGGATACAGCATGGTCGAATAATTTATCCAAAGTGTCTGCACCAGGGATGTCTATGACAGCTAATGAGTCGAAGTGTGTGACAGAGCGATATGGACTTCCAGGTTTGTCTGAAGTGGGCTTAGCTTTTATTCTCTTTGCCATAGCGTTTTTCTTCTTAGCATTGGTAAGAAAATACCATGGAATAAATATAAGGGCACTGTATATTGTTATTAACAAGTGGACAGGTAGCAAAATAATGGTGAGCACATTTAGTTTAAGTTTCATAGTGAAAGGCTTATAAAATGATGTTTATGTCTTGTTACTTTTGGCTTCTGAGAGCCTTATTTTGCTGAAGAAGGCGATAATGGAAGCAGCAGTAAGAGTAGCAGTAGAGCCAAGGCAGTTCAATTTTAGTGAGACAGATAAAAGTTAGTAATCTTTGGAAGCCAACAATAAAGTACACCTGTAGGTGAAGACAACGAACCAGGCAGAGAGCAGGAAAAAAAAAAGAAACAAAATTAAACAATAGTATTAACAGATTGATGGCCCAATTGATTTAAATACTCAGGTCTTTATTAGTTTATATAACTGATTTGACACAGAAAGCTGAAATAACTGGTCTGAAATACAGACATTTTTCCACTTATAATCATTATTGATATAGATGTTTTTAAGTGAATCAACTTCCGAATTTAATTTTTTCTGGGGTTTAAGGTGGACTGGTACTCTGCACATCATTCTGTAAGTCAGCAGTGGGTGTAAAACTATTTCAATGCTTACACAAATGCATGAATGATACTTAAGTTTGGCCAAATTCTAGGAGAGTAGGATAGGCCAATAATGAGCTTTATCTTAAGCATGTATATAGAAACCAGTCAGCTTTAACTAGTATTATTAGGTTTTGTATCCAAAGGCGAGGGACTATCAAATTAGGTTTATTTCTCAAAGAAGAGCCTAGAAGTATTACTCTGAGGGGGTTTGTAAAGGTATATTTCTAAGGCAATGCTCATCACTAGCTTCTATTCTCCAAATGGGAGCAATAAAAATGTAAAATCATTTTCTAAGCCTCCATGTTGTACACAAATTTGCACCAGTTGCCTGGAACTAGTATAAGTATGAAGTAGTACAAAGTCCTAGTCCTCATCTGTTATGAGTTGACACTTCTCAAAGATAGAGCCAGTGTCTCTCAAGTTTTGGGGTGGAGTAGGAAAGGGAAGCAGCTAAATCATTTCTTTAAATACAAAGTTATGCAAACTGCCCATATATAACACTAAAGTCAAATTGTTCTGGTTGAATCAGTAATTAGCAATGGCCAGCATCCCAATTTGAACTTTGTGGAGTCCCACTACCAGGGTGACCACTAAAACATTCTTCTAAAAAGCACAGAGGTAATTCATCACTGAGTGCTATGGTGTGCAGCATGAACAAAAGATGCAAAAGGATTTCAGAGTAAATGCAATATGGTTAAGAGTATGTAAAAGGGACTTTGCAGAAACTATATTTAAGTTTAAAATTATGTTAGACATTTGGGAATGGAAGAAGAATGGAGTGCAGCCCAAGCTGAGAAACCACATAGAAAGGGAGAGAATGAAAGAACTTTGGAAAAGTAGGGAATCTCTATAACAAGAACACTAGCCTGACTATGGCATGGAGCACATGTCGGGTAAAGAGGCTATGGTAGTATAGGATCTGACAAATTAGGCAAAGTTATTTTGATTTGATTAGACAGTAAACTGGGGGGGGCGCTACAGGTTAGAAATGCATTGCCATTGAAATACACTACAGAAAGAATCTCAAATAATAATATTTCTCAGGGATTCTCCATCTAGCAGAGAAAGCTATTTTGGTGGGTGGTAGCCTAATTCAACTAAAAAATTAAAATATTAGTTCACTTTGAAGAGATATGGCAACAGAATAACAGGCCTAATTAAATTGATCCCGGGCTACTTGTTTGTTTTCATATTGATTATTACTACAAAATGGTGCCTTAATCATGCCTGTCCTTTGTTTATCTCTTTCAGATGAGTGCGGTGAAATGAGCAAGAAACTATAGTAGGTTTCAGTCCTAACTTCTGGCACTGATTGTTTGACCATAAGCAAATCATTTGAGTTTGTCATTAGACTAGATGAGTAGGCCTTAACCTCTAGGAAATGGAGACTTTAAGAACCCAATGAGAACTATGAACACTTATCCTCACAGAAAGATATGCAAACAGAAATAAACAGTTTCAGGGAAATCTACCCTCAGTGTCTGCAGTCAAGTATGACTTTGAACAAGTGATATGACCTGCTACTTAAGAGCCACACATCAGCAGCTTCATACTGCTTGCATTACCTACTCCATAGTATCACTGGGGGAATCCTTTGTGCTCTCCACTTAAATTCCACAGGCAAACATAATCAGTCCCTGGCACATACTCCCAACTCCCTCACCACTCTCACTTTGTTGTCCTTACTCAGCTAACCTACAACCTGGTTCAATACAATTTGCTACCTAATCTATACCTGTACCCATGCATCTAGATCTGGACAAACACACAACTGTGCTCAATGCCTCACTTTAGGTTCGTGATTGCTACTCTTCAAGTGGGCTCTCCAAATTGAACAGAAACGACAGTGCACTAATCTACTCACTGGCCCACTCTTTTGGTTTTTCTACCTTGTTCTCTCTTTTCAGAGCACCAAACACTCTACCTCCATCCTTATTCTCAGCTGGTGATCAGGCTTACTATAGTGGGAAGAAATGAAACTAATCTAAAGAGAAACCTCACAGACTCCCACAGACTACATCTATCCACATATTCGCATCTGTCATCATATCCACTCCTATATAAACCACTGATGCTCCTACCCGAGGCCAACTCCTTGACTTGTGCCCTATATCTTCATATATACATGAACATGGTGGTGTTGCTCTATTTATTTATCCCTTTTCACCTGCCCCATTAATTTTCCCTACTCTACTGAATTATTACCATCAATATCAAAAGGGTGTGTTATCTCAAAAAACTTTACTTTCTTTTACCTAACTCAGCTACAGCCCATTTCTTCTCCTCTTTAGCACTCCTTGAAAGACTTTGGCTATGCAATTTGTCTCCTGGTTCTTTCATCCTATTTTGTTTGAAACCCACTACACGTGGGCTTTTGTTCCTGCCACCCCACAAAATTGCTCTGATCAGTGTCACCAATAATTTCTATGTTGATAGATCCAAAGATCAGTTAAAGCACAGTTGTTCTTCATCTTTCTTCACCCACTGGTGTCCTTCACCCAGAGCTTTTATACAGCTGACCCCTCCTCTGCTTTAAAGTTCTTCACTTGGATTCCAGAAGACCATACTCTTCAGGTTTTCTTCCAATTTCGCTGTTTATCCATTTCCAGTCTTAGCTACTTCTCACTTAATTCCTGAGCTTTAAATGCCACTAATGCTCAGTCCTTGAATCCCTTCTTTATCTCCACTCCCTCCCAAAGTGATCTCATTTAGTGTCACATTTCTTAATATCATATATATGGCAATGATCCCCAAAGACTAAAGATTTCCCTTAAATACCAGATTTGTACATCAGTCAAACATGTCAAACTTAGCAGGTTCAAAACTGAGCCATCGGTCATCCTTTTATAATTGTGTTTCACCTAGTCTTGTCTATCTCTGCATTCCACTTGCTTTGACCATAAATCTTGGATTTGCCTTTTTACTCCTCCCTCTTTTCTCATACAGTCCAAATAGAATTCACCAGTAAAACCTAGTGGCTCTGCTTACAAGACAGCTATCTAATTCTACTACTTCTCACCACCTCCACTGTTATCGTCCTGGCTCAAAACCAGTGTCATCTCTCATGTGGATAAATGCAATAGCTAATTTAATCTCCTCACTTCTAACTTCTAACCCTATAATAATCCCTAATTTCAGCAGCCAGAATGCTCCTCTTAAAATGTAAATTACATTATATCTGTGTTCTGCTCAAAACCCTTCAAAGAATCCTCATAAAATTCATTAGCAATAAAAGCTAAAGTCTTTATGACGAACTACAAGGCTACATGAACCTTGCCCTATCCTCAAGTTTCTGACTTCACCTGCCTCTGTGGTTTGTCCTGGCTCATTTTGCTGCAGTCTGACTTGTACTTTGTATTCCTGGAACATATTAAACATAATACGGCCTCGGGGCTTTTGTACTTGCTATTCTCTGCTTGAAGTATTCTTCAAAGATACATCTATAGGTTATTCCCTCACTCACTTCCTTTTTGGCCTTACTCAACATCTCAGTAAAGCCTTCTCTAACCACCCTCTTTTAAACCTATTCCTACATCACTTCCTTTCTTGCTTTACTTTTCTCCTTAGCATTTTTCACTAATGTACCATAGGTTTTGTCATGTTTATTGTCTATACTCCCATCAGAACATAATCTTCATGCGGCAGAGAATTTGTTGTCTGCTGCTAGAACCTCAGTGGTCAAAAAAGTACCTCTATGTGTTAACTCAACTGAAAATTAAAGTATATGTAAGTACGGAAACATCAATGCAGTCAACCTTAGTCATCTTTTTAAAAAAATTATTTGTGCATGCCAACATTCTAGGAAATATTAGGCTTTTAAAATCCCTGATAATTAAAATAAAACAAGGCATTGGCTCTTTAACAGAAAAATATGAAATTAGAAAAACTGCCTGTCACAGAGGATAAAGATCAGTGTTACAAGAACTGGAACGTTATAAGATTTGCACTCTGGACTTTTCACTGATGCCTTTTGCAAAGATATGCTGTCCTTCCATGTATGAAAAGAGATACTGCTGTCCCACCATTAGTAGGACAGGAACTGAGTTCCTTGAGATCAGATAATATATTGGTATTTGTATGAAGAAATGGGGCAAGGAATCATCTGCAGTCATGCGATAGTCAACTGCCACTACTGAAGTTTACATGCTATATGGGAAGCATCTTCACGAGCACTACTGAACATTTACTAGGGGTAAAGCATTATGCTGTCTCATTTAATCCTTCAGAAAACCCCTTTGAAATAATATTCTCATTTTATGGATGTACAGACTCAGAGAGCTTAAATAATTTGCTAAAATACAAAGTTGTCCAGGTTTGGACGCGGGGCTACCTGATTTTAAAGGCCATGCTTTGAGTTATAGTGCTTGTAATCCTGATCATACTGATACTGGAATAATCTAAATAAGCAAGAGAGACAAATTTTATGTATGAAGAAATCCTGGCAACAATTTTAAGCACTGGTCTGTCCCTTATCCTAGGGCATTTTATAGGCACAAAAACAAAACAAAACAGCCTTTAGATGTGCAGTAAATTCTAGACACTTTAGTGAAGAATCAGATATATTTTTTTTGTAACAGGGATCAAAGTCAGGACCTTGAGCTTGCAAGGCATTTGAGGGAACTACTGAGCTAAATCCCCAGCTACACAATTTTGTTTTATCATTTTATTCTGAGGTCAACTTCATGATAAATATTTCATTCCAGTTACTTCAAACATTCTGAGATAGGTTAAAAACAAAAAAAAAGCATTAGTGATACATGAAGCTCTGGTATATAAGGTAAACAAACATTACATATTGATTAAAGTCTGAATTTAAAGGAAGAACTCATCACCCCCAGAAAAATTTGACACAATGCCAATTAAAGGAAAAATAAAACTAATAAATTGAAGTTGATTAATATCCAGACATTTTCTTCAACTTTTAGAAAGTGAACTAAGCCAATCAAGGCTCAATGCATTTAAGTTGAAATACACAGTAATAATGGATTAATTTCATTTGTCTTTCACATTAAGCACTTATGAAAATACTATAAATATTAACATAAAAACCAATGATTAACTACTTTAAGAAATCAGTTTCAAGTCACACATTATTTAAGAGTAATTTAAAAACCAAATATGATATCATCTGTCCTCTGAAAAGGATAAGCTGTTCCCACTAAACATTACATCAAAAAATTATAAAAGTTCCAAAAGATTAACAGATAAGAATACCTGTTATACTTTAAAAGATCATATTACTAAATAGATGAAGCATCATCAAGACTGTCATGAAGAGGTGGAGTGTTTTTATAAAGAAATCTTACTTTCTTTCACACACTATTTTAAACTTCCAAATGATTTTAAAACATACCAGAGAAAGCTCCAATATTATGTTAAAATGAATGGTTATACTTAGTAAATGAAGTCAAACTTTTAGGAGTACATTACAATATAATTAACTTCACAATTTAATAGTAAAATTTACAATAAGCTAATATTTTAAGAAAATAAAAGCATTAAGAGTAGCTAGCAGGATCTCTTGCTATAATAGTCTGCAAGAGTGAATCATCACATGAAACACATATCAGAATGCCACTCATTACTTTCACCTAATTCAAATTGTTATACCACAAATAATGACCAGTCTAATCAATATTGAGATAACTTATACAAGTAAACGTGCATAGTAATTATAACAAATAATTGTAAAACTTTAAAAAAGTAATACAAAAACATAAGATGAGTAGATGCCCTACACCATATTATACCTAGGCCTTGTTATTTTAATTCAAAGCATCTCACACAAATATGATTGATCTTAAAATGTGTCTTTCACAAGATTAATCAAACCTATTTACTTCATCACCTGGAGATAGCTTAACTCCATTAGTTGCCATCCTGCTAGTCTCTTCTAAGGTCTTCTCAGCAAAGAAAGCACCTCAGCAGCCATGGTGAAGGTACTTTCATGCTCTAGTATGAGTTCCCTTCCATAATGCCCTAACAACACCTCCAGCATGCGTCAGATAAGGTTTTTTCCTAGCTCACACATTGACATAATTAGAATCCTATCTATATATGTTGAAAGGAGGAGACCTGAGAACCAATGTTGTAGCTTACACACTTCACACACACTGAGCATTCAACTGCTGCTGCTAAATAGTAACTGCTACAGGTCCCTCTACAAAAAAGCTTTCTGTGAACTCAAACTGCCTCATCATACCATGCTGTAGATCATTTCATCTGTAGTCTTCTTTTTTTCTCTTTTTTTGTGGTTGCATATAGTGTAGTCTTCTATTTACTAGATGTTTTTCTCAAGATATGCATTATTTTAACATAAGTTAAGAAACAAATTGGGTTGCAGGAATTAACTTTAATGTTAACTTATAAAGTGTTTTGTTCTACTAAGAAACATATAGAACATATCTATAAGTTATACATCTTATTGTGAAATTTAATATATTATAGTAAGGTAATACAACTGAGAGCTATCAACTGTAAGTGCAGCTTTCAAAAAAATCTGTTGCTAGCAATATATCCTGCAGGACTACCTTCGTGTTATGGGGAGAATTTTGCAACTTGTTTCTTTTTTACCACAAGATCTTCCCTCTCCATTTGCTAACAAAGGTAGTTTAATAGGTTGGTTCCTAGGCAGTGCTGCTTCTCAGCATCTCGTACTCTAAATAGTAAGACCTTAGGGTCTTAAAACATTTCTTATAAAATGGCCAAATAAGTCACTAAAATTGAGCTGCCTAAGCACGCTAATGTGAAATTGTCTCATGGTTTTATTGAAAAAGGAGCTCTTTCTGCTATTTGGTAATAAATACATCTTTTAAGAGTAATCAAAGAACTCTAAAGACTGTTAAGTCTGTTGCAGACTGAAATCTTACAGTCATTCAATGTTCACATATAAAGACTTGTAAAAAAGAGAAGGCTACATCTTCAAATCACAGGCAAACTGCCATTTTCTTAATATTTCATTGTGGGTGTGTCTAACATTTTAGAAATTTAGAGTTCTTTCTTTGGTGGGGGGGTACCAGGGACCAAACTCAGGCCCTTGTGCATGCAAGGCAGGCAGCGAAACCACTGAGCTAAATTCCCGGCCCAGAAAGTAAGAGTTCTTAACTGAAGAAGGAAGCCACAGAAAACCAAATACAAGAAACCATGGAAAAGTACTCCTAAAGTTAATGAGAAAGGAATGCAATCACTCCAAGCTGTCCTCTTTTCACATTTATTTGCTTAACTGGCAAGTGAACAAGACCGATAAGGGAATTAGCTATTTTTGTTTGAAAAACATATTTGGCACAGCTGAAGCAAAGCTATAATTGACGAACCCTCCATAGTGCCCTGAACTCAACTGCTCAGATATTCTACCAAAACTTTGCCAACTCCCATTGTTAAACTTTCTATATAGATTTTTCCCTTCCAAGTCTAGACTAGCTAGCCTTAGGTTGGCCAAGACTACTATAGGCCGACTTATATAAATCCATAACTATGTCTGTGGGTGTGTATGTATGAGAGAGAAAATAGCACTCTTTCTGGAGAAATAACTATAGATGCTTGAATATGTTGACCTTCTCAGTAGTGTCATACTCTGTCAACTTCCAAGAGGAAATGCCAAAGGAGGCTATCTTACCTCTTTTGTCAATGGTGGGGTAGCAAGAATCCTACATACAACAGCTGAACTCAGACATAACTCATTCTGGCCTATTGATAAAAAAATATTTGGCTATATATTTAAGATTTTCTAATGCAGTCTAATCAATGGACTTCAGAGATAAGTTAGATTAGAACAATAAATCTGAATTTCTTTATGCCTAGAAATGAAAAATAGTTATTAGAATATAAATATATTATATCTTCTGCTTCTATTTCATAACCTATTATACTACAAGCAATTCTCAGGAGACCAGAAACACTGGAGAGATAGCATCAGATAAAGGGTTTGGGTTGATCTGGGAGGTGCTGATCTGTAATTACTAGAACAAATTAAATGGCCTCTTAATGACTGCTTCCTTATCTATAAAATAAGAAAGCTGGATTTAGATTTTCAGATATTGAACTAGCTTAAAATTTTTATTTTTTAAAAACAGGATGGTGACTGGAAATGACAAAGAGATATCAAATTTTTCCAGGTATGGGCCTTTAAGTAAAGAGCCCTATGTTTATTATTACCATCATTTTATAAAATAAAGAACATATGTAACTCACCCATTAGATGGCTATCTCCTATAAGCAGCAGCTATTCTTTAAATTGCAAGTATTTAGCTTTAAGAAACTCATGAACTGATATCCTTTCCCTTACTTCACCATGGATCACTAAAATCTTTTTCATTAATCAGCACTGGTCTAAAATATTAAAATTTGGGAACCACTGGACTAGATAATTTTCAAAGTCCAAGCCTCAAACCCTATAATTTTAAGTTTATGTGCTCTGTTATATTTCTTTTACTCCATACCATGGTCTAGAGTAGATGCCTGGGTGGGTGAAGCAAAGTGCTGATACTTAAATTGATGGTCAGAAATAGACTTAAATCAGTTTGAGAAATAACCACTAAACTAAAACAAGGATGACTTTACTGGGGCAAGAATAAACTGTTACAGATTTAACTTTACCAATAATAATGAACCGCTGATTGTGTGCTTACTATAAAGACTATTTTACATGTGAGGAAACTGAGGCAATGGGAAGTTAAATAGCTCACCAAAACCACAAGGTTATACACCTCAGTAGTCAGAAATTCAACGCCAATCTATGACTCATACTTTTGGGTATGAGTCAAAGCTAAAGAAATTATTTGGATTTTAATTACCACTTGCCCTTTTATAAAAGAGTAGTTAATGGTTTAATCTTAAAAGTTTGAAAGGCTAAAACATTTTAATATTTTACTTTTCCAAATATTGCCTTTACAGTTCCATCATAAATATTAACAGAGCTTTTACACTATAAAAAAAAGTCAAGATGCCAGTCAGTATGGTTTCTAGATTCTCTCAAAAAGTTGACCCAATTACACATTTGTAATTTCTAATGGACATATACTTACAGATTTCTTCTTTTCGTTTTAAGAAGAATGTGTTTGTCTTCTGTGATTTCAAATCTGCAGTAAGAGACAACATTTATGAGTACAGTGACATGAAAGATAAAACACTGAAAAAAAAATACTATTTCATATTACTTATACACCTTATCTTAAGAAAAGCTAGGTACCCAAGGAAAAAATAAGAAACTACTAAAGATGAATCCATACCCAGAAGTTCTGCTGTTAAGATCTTGGAAACCAAGACCACCTGTCATGTAAAGGTAGAAGATCCCAATAATGAATGTAACTGTACTGTATATGTAAAATGTACCAATAAACTCAAAGAAAAAAAAAGATCTTGGAAAAATAACTGAGCCAGACTCAAGGAAACAGTAGTGAAACACTATGAGATGATGGCAAGAAACAGAACTTAAGTTCTTGTCACTTTTATTCCCAGCTGTCAGGACCAATACAAGGCTCAGAGACAGAGACATCGGGCCACAGCAAACTAGTTAATCTACCAAGAGAGGCAGCTCCACTCCCAAATGCCTACAGGTATCTCGTTATTTTCCTATCAAAATCAAAAATAAATATTTTCCTTTAAATAATACAAGGGTCTTTGCAAAAGGAAATATAGCACTGGCCTAGGTAGCAACCTAAAGAATATGTTTGTCTTCTATCAATTTATAAACATTATATTTATGATGTTTCTTAAGAGAATACATCAAAAATGTCTAAGGTCAATTTGTGTTTGAGGATGGACCTATTTTGGACAATGTAGACGGAAACTAGTTATCATCTGAATATTCAGTGGAGTAGAATAAGGCAATTTATTAATTTCATAATGCTTGTTTACATCTTAAGACCAATGGGGCATTCTAAGCATGATGCTATGATTTTGAAGAACTGAAGTTTTATTCCAACCTGCAGTAGTCACTACTATTTGAATATATTTATAAGACTGTTTTTTTCATCTAGACATCCCAATGCCAAGTCACAAAAACAAACATCTACACAACTTTTTTTTTCATCCATGTAACTTTAAAAACCATACTAACTAGTTGGTTTTAACTGGAATAATTAATTCTCTCCTATGAAGGAAGGAATTATTTATACCCAGAACTATCACTAACAGATACTAAGAGATGATGCCTTTTGTTCTGTTCTCTAGAACTACTTTCAATTTCAAGTTAATATCTAAAATTTACTTTGTGGAGATAGTGCTAGAGTCAGTATAAGGTTGAGTACAAAAGGTTAAGGCTACCTAGAAATAGAAGTTATGCTATTTTAGATTTTTCTAGTTTTCTCCCATTTATTGTTAACATGAAGGGGAGGCTGCATACGTCCTAAGAGCTAACAAAATGAATTTTGCAGGAGAAAAACTTTAAAATTATATATAGAAATCATATATCTCCCCAAAGATAATTTTGATAACTGAAAAATGACAAATATAACCCTTATATAAAATTCATTTAAATATATATAGGTGGCTGGAGGATAGGGAAGGGAGGGGTGGGGAATATACACAATTGTCCACTAGATTGTTTAATTTGGAAAATAATTCTACTAATAAATACCTGCAATGGACAGTCAACACTTGACCCTTGGTATCAGAGAAAAATCTGGAGAGGATAGTCAAGTGTCAGAATTCTCCCAGCTGGATGAGAGCTCCAGCTTCAACCTTTTACAGATCTCCAGTCTCATAGCCCTAAATCAGTTGGGGAGGAAGAGATACTCTCGGAGGTGCTTTAGTTCAAAGGAAATACAAAATGTCGCTCAATGCCTATAACCTTAACACCTATTTCTTTTATCATAAGAGGGACTGCGGATATACTTCAGTAGAAGAACATATGATTAATATGTGCAGCTCCAATTCAATCCCCAGCAAAAAATAAATAAATAAAAATGAAAGTATGTAATGGCTACCCGGTACAGAAAAGGAAATTAAATCACAGTACATTTTGTAATCTACATTACTGTAATCTACACAACAGTAAAATCGACCCTGAACTCCCCTCTCATAGCATCCCCCTACAAAATAGTACAGTCCTCTTAAAATAATTTTACTAAAATAAATTAAAGGTATTATTTAATATAAAAGAACTAAGCAGATTACCACCATGCAGGTTCTATTCTATAAATATCATCTATAATGATAGGGGAAAGGGATGATTTGACTAAAATTATAATGCAAATTTTAGTTAAGACTTGTTGCTTTCATGGATATGCAAGTTTTTTGTAATATAAGGAAGTTAGAAAGTCTTAGCAAATTTGTAACACACTAAAGTGTACAATACAGTTTGTTTTACTTAATAAAACTTGGTAGCATAAAAAAATAATACAGTATCACAAATTTACCATCTTATAATTAGGGAAGAAGGTAGCACTAAGAAAACCCAACCTACCAAATACTGTGAAACAAAACATCATGCACAAAGCTAACAAGAGCATAAAAATGATTTTAAATAAAGCAAAAAGTGATACAAATACAAGACAGTAATATTCAACTTCAAACAACCCTCATACTTTACTTTGAAGCAGACTGGAAAACAAAGCATTAAGGTGATTGGTTTTGACCCTGTCAGTAAATAAGTTTCTTAACTAATATTTTGCAAACATCCTTTCAGAAGTAAAGTCAATACTAAAATTGGTATAGCATCTGTTGGAAATATTTCAAGCATGATGAATTGTCCTCTTGTACTTAATGTTTCAAGGACCTATCTTAATAAGATTAAAATAGAATGTTTCAGAAAATAGTGGAAATCTTTAGTACATAATGTTCAAGTCTAAAAGCAAATCCTGGTAAATCTCTTTTAAAACACTGTCCTAAGCAATCATCTATTATAAGACTAATTTTAGGAAAATAAATATAAATCATATATTGCCAAGTATTTGTGAGTGAAAGTGGAAAAACCAGAATATAATTCAAAGTTTAGAAATATTTTTTTCTCTCATTGAGTTTATTGGTACATTTTAAGTATACAGTACAGTTATATTCATCATTGGGATCTTGTACCTTTACATGACAGGTCTTGGTTCTCATTTATTCCCCTTGTCCCTGCCTTCCCTTCACCCCCTCCTACCCTCCCCATTTACAAACACTTTATTTTCATTTTCTCATATTTTTTTCTTTTTAGAAATATTGATATCAAGAAATATAGGTTCAACTACATGAGACCCTGTCTCAAAAACAAAAAAGAAATACAGATGTAAAACAGTATGTTTGAGTATTGTTACATAGTCATAGAAAAATTAGCAACAGACACACTAAATATTAAGACCAGTTATTGCTGGGTTGTGATTACAAGTGAATTTTAAATATTTCAATATTTAATCATAACATCTTTCAAAATTTCCATAAAAACATTATACTAAAAATTGATTTAAAATTATAAAAGAACAAGAAAATGACTCAGTTAAAACAGAACTACATAACTGCCCCAAACCAGTCAAGCTATTGGAGGGTACTGCTCAAATTCTAAGTGGTGGAAGAATCTTTTCTTTTCCCTTTAAGAATATATGTGCAAGTGAGTGTTCCAGGAAATAAGATTATGGGTCACTTGATTTGTGAATAGTAAAACATAATAAAGAAATGTTAAAATGTAATTACAAGTACCCCAAATCTATAGTGTGAAAAATAATGCAGATAATTCCATACTGTTAGACTAGAATGCAGCTTCACAGAAAAGTTAGATAACTTCTTAAAAAGTATGTTAATAATATGCAAACATTGTAAAATGCATCTAATAAAGTGAAAGTATCATTTTCACTTGATCACCTAGATATATCAGTTTTCATGCATATACTATCTTTAATCAAATGATGGCAAACTTATGGTACAATGAGCTGTTTGTATCATCAAAAGTTCTAAAAGGTTCACCATCTCTAAGCGAATATTGCATCATACTAATCTATACAAGTGTGCACCTTCTTGAAAAACACTGACTCTTTTATATGTCCTTCTAAGTCAGAGCACATGAATTTCCTATTTAACAGTTCTGTAGTATTTCACTGTATCACAATTAAGTCTAACCAATATTTTCAATTGGTGGACTTTTTGAATTTGCCTAATTTCTTATTTTCAGAAACAGCACCAAACTTCTTTATAAAAATATTTATGGAATGCTACTATTGTATGTATTCAGAGCAGAATTGCTTAGACAAAAGGTACAAATGTTTTAGATTTTTAGTCTATTGTAAATTGCACTCCAGGCCAAGAAGGAATGATATTCTAGGACAAAGAGTATATCCAGCACCCAGATCTTAAATTGGCAAATACTATTCTCCAATAAATGTGATCATTATGTATGGCAAACATGTACTAATAAAAACAAATTAGATAATTACTAAATAAAATTACAAGATTTCCAAATTTACAGATGTTAACATTTGCTGGCAAAAATGAAGAAAAAAAAACACCCCAAAAAATAAAAAATACCCTGAGCTTTTTGGAGCAGTGGTTTCCAGGACCACAGCAGGAATGATGCAATGTGAGGCCAGTATTATGTGGTACCAGAAAATTTGAAGTGCTTCAAAAAATGACATGTCAAAAGGTCCACCAGGGCCAACCCAAGTGGTCAGTGTTGGCACAATTTGAGCAGCAAAATAATGATATTAGAATCTATGCCATTTCACAATGTCAGTTATCTCATTAGGGTCTTATGTACTATTACAGAAGAAAGGGGCTAAAGGTGTAGGGAAAGCGGGAAGGGTAGGCGAAAGGTAATAAGGGAAAAGAAAAAAACATGTAAGAAAATGAAAAGAAAGAAATAAAGTGTTTGTAAATGGGGAAGGGAGGAGGGGGTGAAGGGAGGGCGGGGACAAGGGGAGAAAATGAGAACCAAGACCTGTTGTGTAAAGGTACAATATTCCAAGGATAAATGTAACTATACTGTTTGTTTTAAATGTACCAATAAACTTAATGGAAAAAAAGAAATTGAAGAATTTTTATAAATTAGAGGAAACAAAATATCTGAATGCAATGTGGGATCCTAGACTGAATAATGGAACAGGAAAAGGACTTAAATAGAAACACTAGTGAGACTTGAACACAGTTTGTAATTCAATTAACAGTATTA